GTATCGGCTGGAAAATATTATGAAAAAGGTTTTTGATTGTCGCTGATGATGTATGCAGTATATTGGGATACTGTGCTATAATAATACCCAAAATGGGCACTAGCTAGATGATGATATGAAAGTGAGTGATTTGTTGAACCCAAAGAGGTTATTTAGTTGTTGACCAATGAGTCAAAAGATACTTTCGCTGACGACTTGATCAGTGCAAGAGTCACTGTGGATACCGCACCATCACCCTGTATCATTCATTACCTGTCGAGGCAAATAGCCAGGGGAGTAGTTGTTTCAGGAAATGGTCCGGAGTAGTCGAATTGTGTAGCGAGTAGAAAGAGAAATTTATGTGATATTATGAAGTGATTGATGGTATTGGATTTATGGAGTATTGAAGTTTGTCAAGGTACAATGATGGTTTGTACAATAGAACTTGTGCTGTGATGTGCTAAAGTAGGCCTATCAATAGTCAGGAATGCTTAAAGGTTTGATCACGCGGAATCCCGGAAAATGCTCCACATTGTAGGGATATTTGAGCTATATCGAAAGAATAGGGTATTAGACAAATGATTCAATAATTAGAGTAGGGATGAGAGAATCTATAGAGCTGACGAAAAGGCACAAAGTTATAGCACATGAAGTTAATATTGAGTATATTGGGAAAAATGAGTACCTATATAGTAGAGAGTACCTGGTTAAGGCGACGAGATATGTCGTACACTGTGAAAAATCGAAAGCCGAAGTCGAAAAAGAGATAGATGAGCGAATATTGAGCATGTTGATAACTTAATATGAGAAGGAAAAGTCAAGTTTTTTTTTCAGATCGATAATTTTTGAGGAAAATAATAGTCATGTAGTAACATTAGAATAATCAAATCTTCAGTATGTTTCAGAGGAGAAGAAATCAATTATATGAACACTACAGGAGAATAACAAGATATTGAAGCAATGAAAATATTGGGGAAATAAAAAGTAGAGAAAATTAAAAAAAATGTTGAAAACAGGTAGAGAAAATTCCGACAGCCACCAGAAAACTATGAGTTCAGTTACAGGTATATCAAGTTATAGTTAATGTAAGTATATTGAATAAAGGTGAAACGTGATAACATTGTTTCATGAAGCTAATGAAGGAAAAAAAAATCGCGATACAATTTGATGAATTATGGTCACATATTTTGAGATTCAACGTTAGCGTTATTCCACTAACAAACATCGGAATGTTGTTACCAATTGATACAAAAATTCAGAATATCAAAAGTTACGTTTTTGAAGAAATTTCTGAGACACCAATTATTTTGCAAAGATTATTTATATGAGTAGATATAAGAATCGAGTATCACTTGAAAGGCAACCTCTCCGATTGAAGACATTCGCTTATGGAACAATGGGAGTGAACACTTTTTTTTGCATTTTATCCAGAGACATCAAATAATCATTATTAGAATGGTTATGTGTTTTTGTTTTCGAAGAAAGCAGACATGGAATCACTAGTTAGTTCAAGTTTGCAATGAAGACCTCACAAGTTATTTTATTTTTAATCGACATAATATACACACAGGTATATTATTCACAAACAAAATTAAATTAATGGGGTCATTATTCGACTCAAGTAGTTATTATGATATCGGATGTCATAATACGGTTCAAGTTCAATCTTCAACAATATATGCAGCGGTGATATAAAATATGTTCTTAATAACATAAAAGATATATTTGATTGGTGAATTATAAATATAATGAAGCTGGGTAAAAATTATCTATGTATTGATTTATTGAAAACAAATTTTCTCAGATAAATTATTAACATTTGAAAATGAAGGTTATGAATTGAAGAAGTCAATATCATTGACATTGAACTCAGATTGCGAATAACACGGAGTAAATGTCATCACCCAGGAGTTTTCAATTTGAAAAAACTTTACGGAATATTGAAATAGCCATAGATGAGTCGGATGGGTGAATAGTGTTTCATAATTTCAGACAAACATTGTTTCTTCATATTGGTGAAAATGTAGATGAAGTTTAGCGAGAATAGTTGATTGATGAGGAGATTGATTATATATGTTTAGAATTTTGTTTGTTATGCTGCAATAATTTCATTTTTTCGTTTCACATGTGGTCCCACACTCGAGAAGAGGCAATTAATTGCCGATGTAGTCGGACTGAGTTTCACCGCATACAGGGTGGACCATGCAATCGTTCCTATGGGCATCACCAGTGGACGAGGTACAAAAAAGGCATAGGGTACTATGGTAGCGAGCGTGTTCTGGAGTTACAGTCAAGTGAACCACGGAGGTATGCGAGCTACGAGAATTATGGACCTAGATGACATTTGGAGACGACCATCAATGAGCTTACCGAGGATGTCAGCCGTGATAGCCTGTCAGCATCCCAAGTCAGTCAAACCTTGCAAATGAGAGAAGCTGACGTTTGGAATGATGTTGCCATTCCGAGTCCGGTAGCTGTCCAGGACAACTCCAGTCATCTAGTTAGATTAAGTCACATAGCCACATCTGTAATCTATGGAGGGGGCCAGTAATCATGCACAGAACACACCAGGAAACTACGCCACCTCAGACAGCCATATGCATTGCCAAAGTGTACAATGAGCCTAGCAGTTAATGGGGTATGCCAAGGAACGCCTGATGTGAAACTCAGAAACTACTCAGACGACCAAGCCAAGGACCAGAGTGTGTGGATCGACTATTTTCGAGTTTTGTTCCTTTTCGCAGTTAGTTCAGGATATGTTTATTGTAAATTCAGTCACAAATAGGTATATAGTCAGTATAACAAGTAGGATGTTGAAAGAATAGACTCATCTGACTATTTTTAACGACGGGGGCCGTCGTTTTCAGAGGAGGGGCATGTCACAAATGAGGAAATATTTGAAGTTGAATTCCAATATTCTTATAAAATCATATTGGTTCGAAGTCATTGAACGTTCACGTATCTGTTTATTATTTCCAAAATTATTGAACCACGAACTTTCGATTAATATTTGAACCTAAACACAGGCGTGACAATGACTCCAAACCATCCACCTGACTTCCTCACTGTCACGTTTCCAAAATATAGATTAAATATATAAAAGGCGTGAGGAAGCCAGCACAGGTATCATGTCGATCATTCAATTATTCGATCATTCAATCATTTGACTCGATCGATCATTTAACACTGTGCCCGAACCATCGGAGTTCGGGTCAGAACAGAAGATGCCCTTCCTCAGGCTCCCAGAAATACCAGTTAATTTGTACATATCGACGGTGTAAAGGCAAAAGGATTCATGTGAAAAATCATGTTTTTTTTTATTCAGGATTATGTAGGTAACTGTTTATTGTGATACATCGATTAGTAAAAAGATTCATCTGAATATTCCTCCAGTTATTGAGATATGAAAGGATACATAGCTATATTTTCAGGAAATCATGGATGAGCAAAAGGATTCATAGTTACATAATTCTTTTTGCCTTACCAATTTCACCCTTCTCTCAGAACATAAATCTACTGTTATTTCACATGAACCTTTTTGCACTTCCCAATTATTTGTTTCTTGTAGAAATAAATCTTTCTGAAACAATATATATCCTTTTACCTTTCCTAGTTCGGCATGATATATTCAAATTGATGCGTTTGCTACCCTGCTTTTTAATGGATCAGTCGTTACGATAACCTTCGAATGAGTACACACGTTTGTTCACAGTTTCCTGAAGAATTTGATTTTGTATACCGTCGTTTTGATTCGGTAAGTTGAAAATGAAACAATCATTATATAGGGTACCACCATAGTCGGAGCAATAAGTAAAACATTGTTTTTCTATGACTTTATCCACTTAAAAGAAATTTGATATGTTGAAGAATGTGGAAAGTTGATAGCGTCGTAGAGTATCATCTCCATTTATATCAGGTTACGTAGGTTTAGGGCTGGTAATATGCAATTTCGCCGAAATGCACTTCCATCATTTTTTGATAATGTTCTTATTCTGGTTATAAGTAGAGGTGAAATATAATCTCTTGAATGATTCAATCATTAAGTTTCTGAAAGAACATACAGGGTGTGCCCCTCAAAATTGAATTGTTTAACTCAACTTGTTCATCTACAGGGATAGGTTAAGTATCAGAATATGTTGAAAGTGACTGATGATCTCTGTCAATATTTGTACCTTTATAATGAAGATGAAAGCGAAGTGAAACAATAACAGTGATAATGATATTATCATTGTTATTGTTTGACTTTCATCAGTGATACATATTGATGAATTTGAAAATTGTCGTAGATCGTCATCCAAAGAACATTCATTGCATTTCCAAAGTCTAACATTTCAAAAAATATGATAGCCAGATTCAACAACCCATTCAATGAGGGCTAACATTATTTTTCGTCCATCAAACAGCCCCACCTAAATATGAGGTCAGGGTTGGTAGAATTTATGAATACACTTGTGCTTCTCGTGTCATTTGGCTTGCTACAATATCTTCTTCTCCGTCATTGTGAGAATTGGTCGTAAAGTTTCACATCAAGATTAAAAACACGTAATTGGGATCAATTCTTTCTATAATTTGAGGTTTTTCATTTGTCCAAATATTCTACATTATTGTAGCAAAAGTTTTGGATTTTTCGACTTTGACACTGACCTCATGTTTTAGTAGCGACAGCTGGTGAGAATGAAAATGTTAGCACTCATTCGCAATCAGAAGAGGAATATTTTTGAGAGAATTTGGCGAAACGAAAAGCTTTGTATATAAAAATCATTTCGAAATGAGAATTCTTGCAGTTTCATCCAGGTATTGCAATCGGAAATTGTTCCTGAGTGCCTATCTCTCGGAAAATGAAGAGAGACTGTATGATTTTGAAAGATAACTATAATAATTATAATTGAGGAGATGATCTGTACGAAATTTTGAATGCCATGAAGGGACAAAAAAATCAATTACCTTACTCACTTCCTCATTCAATTCCCCTTGAATTTTGATGACAACATTTTCCGTATAGGTCTCCTTCTCCAAACATCATGGGATCAAGGATCGAAAAAATTTTTGCTGCTCTCAAGAAACCTAACGGGATTCTGGATGGAAATAGCCTTGTTAAATCAAGTATTGCTAATGTGTCTGATGATTTGATTGCGAATTCTGATGGCTTGCTGCCTCATAATACTCCCGACATCTCAAGGTCAGAATCTAGTCCCGTTGAAGAAACTGTTCCTAATGTGTCTGGTTTAGATATGGACTATAATAACTTGCAGCAACATGATACTCCCAATTATTCGAGGTTGGAAGCTACCCTTGTTGAGACAACTGTTGTTAATATTATTCGTGATCCAGTTATGAATTTGGATAACTTTCTACTGCATGAAACTCCTAATATTATGGAGTTGGGCCTCACTGAAGTGATGGATGTTGCTAAAGTGTCTGATTCAGTTATAGATTCAAACGGCTTGTTGTTACATATTACCCCTAATAGTCTTGATGGGGCAACTAGTACTGATGCTGATGTCTTACTGTTACATTGTTCTCCCAATAGTTCGAGGTTGAATATAATCGATAATAGCATGCCAGTTAGAGCAGCTGATGAAACCGATGATTACATTCTTCATGAACTTCAGACCTATAAACCAACTTTGGATCGCAACAGTCCACTAGATCTCGAAGCATCCACATTCGCAACTCCTCAAGAATACAGTGAGATAACAATATTTCCACGTACTCAAGTAGTCGAAGACAATACTAACACAGAAGAAGAATTACCTTTTATTGAAGATCAGGAAACTTTCGAAAATGCAGGAGAAACTGATATCAGTGAAAATAATTTCAATGGTGAAGAAAATTGTGATGGGGTTGATAATGATTATGTTCCTAGTGATGAGTCAGATATTGACAGTTCATCGAGTGAAATAGAGGATCCTGACGACTTAAATGATATTAAAAGCAGTAGAAAGAGAAAAATGAAAACAACAGCTCATAATAGGAAACAAGTTGAAGTAATCGACGAATCAAATCGAACAAAAGAACACGAAATTCAACCAGGGACAAGTTTTCAGGTTACACCTACGCCATCGATGCAAAACGGCGATGAAACAGTTGGGGAAGAAGGAGTGCGTAGAGAAAAAAGAAAAAATAATAGAAAGGAAATGAAAAAACGGAGGAATGCAGGAGAAGAATATAGTACAGTGAAAGGAAAGAAAAAAGAATCACGAAAAGTTCGAGAGAATTCTTGCAAAACTTCTAAGAGGTGTTTCAATGAGTGTAAACATTTCACAGAAGATGAGAGATTAGGTATTTTTAAAACATATTGGAATTTAGATCATCAAAGAAAGAGGGACTGGTTACTGAAATCTATGGTTCGGGTTCCTGTCAAACGAAACAAAAACCTGAGCCAGAGAAATTGCACCTATAACTACTTCATTTCCAAAGGAGGAGAAAATAAAAGAGTTTGTAAGAATTTTCTTCTGAATACTCTTGATATCACTGTAAAGTTGTTTCAGTATACCAGAGACAATTCATTGAAAGAGAACTTGGAGTTATCGAAAACTGATAATCGTGGAAAACATACGCCACCGAATAAAACTCCTCCAGATATCACGGAAAATTGTAGAGCCTTCATAAAAAATCTTCCAGCGATCCCAAGTCACTATTGTAGGAAAGATAATGATAGGAAATATTTACCGGTGGAATTCCAGAATGTATCCAATTTATTCAGGATTTACAGGCACCATTTCAACTCTTTGAATGAACCCCATGTTAACGAAAAATTATTCAAAAAAATATTCAAAGACGATTTCAATATTGGGTTTCATCAACCAAAAAAAGATAAATGCAACACTTGTGAGCAGTATAAAAATATACCTGATGAGGACAAAAGTGAGACTTTACAAGAAAATTACGCTTCGCATCAACAAGAAGCTAGAGCTTCCAAAAATATCTTCATTGAAAAGCAGAAAAGAATTGAAAATAACCCTCGTTCATTATGCGTTAGTTTTGACTTACAGAAAGTTCTGAATACGCCACATGGAAACTCAATGTTATTATTTTACAGCAGAAAGTATGCCTATTATAATTTTTCAGTTTATGAAAGTGGTCGACGAAATGGCTACTGTTATCTCTGGGGAGAAAGTGATGGGAATAGAGGATCCAATGACATTTGTACCGCTCTGAATATGTACATAAAAAAAATTGATGACGAAAATTCGACAGAGGAGTTGTTTCTATTTTGCGACAGCTGTTCCGGGCAGAACAAAAATTCTCTCATTCTCTCTATGATTAAATATACATTAGATAAATGTAAGCACCTCAATTCTATAGAAGTCAATTATTTGATTCCAGGCCACACTTATATGCCTGTAGACTCTGTTCATGCTACAATAGAGAGGAGTCTAAAAGGTAGAATAATTTATGCCCCATCTGAATGGCCAACTGTTATTAAATTTTCCAGAAAAGATGAAAAACTCAAACCTTTCGAAGCAATTGCACTACAACATTCGGATTTCATGGATTGGAAGCCAGTACAAAAAAAATATTTCCTTATAATACGAGCAAAGGAAAATATGTAGATGGCGAAAGATTTATGATCACCAAAGCAAAAACTTTTTCATTCACCAAAAATATCGATATAGTGGAAGTTCAATGTTCATTCCTTCCCAACAGTATCACAAAAAGTTTGAGTTTCAAGGTTTGCTCTATGTCTGATGAACAGACGGCCAGGGTATCGACCCGTGGAAAGAAAATGAAAGTAAATGAATCTGCGAGAAATAAAACTCCTGTGGAAAATGGTGAGCCTATTCCAAATTTATATCCGAATAGACTACCAATATCTAGTAGGAAATATCAAGACTTGAATAAACTCTGTAAAAATTTTGTTATTCCCAAACAATATCACTCAGAGTATAGAAACCTACCCTACTCTAAAAATAAAGATGATACCTTGGCAGAGACAGATGACGAAGATGTGGTTGATGAATCTGCTAAAGTATGAAAACTTGTTTTTTATCTACTGATTTGATTTGCATTTCTATGAATTTAAATGTAAATTGATTTGTGGAATTGCATATTGTCGTTTCTCAAAATAAACGCTTTTTTTTATTATTCAATATTATTTTAACCCAGCACTCACCATAGTTGATAGACACTATTGCCCTATTGTTCCCCAGTAGGCGAGGAACATTTTGAAGGGTTGCATAATAGTGGATAGGTTTTTTCCTTCTCAGATTCAGAAAGTGATTTTCTTTGAACCGAATAAGGTATTTTTGCGTATAACGAAATGAATCATCTATAATGCCAGTGGAAAAACTGTCTTTCCAAAAACTCAGTCTTTGTACTGCAATAACATTTTTTTGTGTAATCAATGATTCATTCAGTTATATTCTGGTGAGAATATTCATTATCATCCGAATTAAACTCGAAAATCACGAAAAATGACAAACATACATTTGGATTCAGGAAGATATATCATCTGCACTGTATTCTGGTAAAAGGTATCATATCAATGAAGATTTGATACATGGGACGATTTTGAGCTTTTTCTGGAATGGCTGAAGGAATTATGTGCTGAATTTGATGTTTTCACTTGTATTTTCAAGAAAAAAATCAAATGCTATGCAAGAAGATAATGCTGAGCTTCATTTCCGAAAATTTGAATGATTTTGGATTGATATGTTGGGCGTTATTCACGGAATAGGTCATTGAATTTAGTTTTTATGCTCTCCTGAAAAGTGCTGATTTCACATATATCCTTATGCCTTTATACCGTCGATATAGGGTAAGTTAAGTTTTATTTATTGTTAATCATAAAACCAAGAATAAATGTGTGTATATGTTTTGTTGAAAACCTTTTGGAGTGTTCTTCATTATCATCACTTTGAAAGTTCATTCTCTAATAGATCTAGTGCACAACTTAGGCAACCCCCGCCTACAGTTTGTGACAATATGCTCCAAAGGTATCCATGTGAGATGATGAAATACAGAGATATAGTGTGCAGACTGATGTTGTCGGAGTATCTTCACTTGCCTATTGTTCTCGTTATATGTCCTTCGAAGTCATTTTATAGGGTCAGTGCGATCGTATCTACTATAGCTGTAGGCATATCAGATTCTAGAATGTGAAGTTACAGTGTAAACATAGTCGAAGACAAAGTTTCTTGTTCTGCCTGTTGCGTGCATTATATTCGCTTCGATGCCGTCTTATATGATCGTTGCGAACTTATATGCCTCAAAAGTATCCATGTGAGATGATATAATACACTGATCCAGTGTGGAGACTGATGTTGTCGAGGTAGCTTCACTTGCCTATTGTTCTCGTTATTTGTCCTTCGGAATCGTCTCTTAAGGTCAGTGCGATCGTATCTGCTATAGCTGTAGGCATGTATGATGCTAGAATGCGATGTTACAGTGTGAACATAGTCGGAGTCGAAGTTTCTTGTTTTGCCTGTTGTGTGCGTTGGATCCGCTTCGATGACGTCTTATATGGTTGTTGCAAAATGATATGATGCTCCAGAAATATCCATGTGAGATGATAGAATACAGGGATACAGTTTGCAAACCGTTGTTGTCGAAGTATCTCTACTTGCCTATTGTTCACATTTTTTTTCCTCGAAGTCATCCTATATGGTCAGTGCGATCGTATCCCCTAAAGCTGTAGGCATATCAGACTCAACAATGTGAAGTTACAGTGTAAACATAGTCGAAGTCAAAGTTTTTTGTTCTGCCTGTTGCGTGCGTCAAACCCGCTTCGATGTCGTCTCATATGATCGTTGCGATCCAATATGCCTCGAAAGTATTCATGTGAGATTATAGAATACAGAGATACAGTGTGCAGACGGATGTTGTCGAAGAATCTTCACTCGCCCATTGTTCTCGTTATATGTCCTTCGAAGTCGTCCTATATGGTCAGTACGATTGTATCTGCTATACCTGTAGGCATGTCAGATGCTAGAATGCGGAGTCAAAGTGTAACATAGTCAAAGTCGAAGTCTCATGTTCTGCCTGTTGTGTGCGTTATACCCGTTTTGATGTCGTCTCATATAATCTTTGCGAACTGATATGGTCCAGAGGTATCCATGTGAGATGATAGAATAGAGAGATGCAGTGTGCAGAACGATGTTGTCGAAGTTTCTCCACTTGCCTATTGTTCACATAATATGTCCTTCGAAGTCATCCTATATGGTCAGTGCGATCGTATCTCTTATAGCTGAAGGCATGTCAGATCATTCCTTCCATATTCACAATTGTCGACCCATAATTCATTGGTTCTAAGTAGCCCCACAAATGAAAATCAAGTAGGGTGTGGTCTGGCAACGGAGCTGGCCAGTTGCTATCACCATCGAGACAATTGGTGGTTATTACATTTTCTCTAAATCGATGGCGAAGTAATTTACGGGTCTGCTGTTATGTGCAGGACACCCATCATTCGATTTAAATCCTGTTATATTAATAAAATCCAATCATGTAAATTTTTTATTGAACCATTTCTTTTGCCATATCTTCGTAGTCGTTTGAAACAATGCCATCAAACCCAGCATTGTTGAATTTGTAATAATGAACTCTACTTGAAGATGGAATAATAATATACTGGGTGTCCATATTCAAATGAGAAAGTTGAGGTGAACTTCGAATCGACCCTGTATACCTACGTTTCATTCTATAGCATATTTCGAGTGAGCATCATCAAATATACTGGGTGACCAAATTTCATGTCATTCGATAGCGCGGTTGATTTTTCACAGAGGGAGACATTTTAGCTGGGACACGGTGTATAGAAGAGATATGCATGAAGGGAGAATTTCAAGATGTTATATTTTGCAGATTGAAACCTCACAGCCCTATGTATAATCCGATTGAACATATATGGAGTGCCTTCAAGTCAGAAGTGAAGAGATTTTTGCAAGAGCATCGCCAAAGGGACATAGCTGAGGATCCGAACAGATTGCTCAACCAGTTAGAATTCAGACTGCGATGTCATGAAGAATGTGCAGATCATTCAATGAAAATAATAATACCTCGAATGTGTTTGCATTCTTATAATCATGTGCAACGCTACTATCCTTCTGCGATTCGGATGGAAGACATCTGTGGATTATATTGAGGTTATAATTATGTTATTGAATTGTTATTGAAAAGTTGAATATTGTAAATATGGTTTGTTAATCTCACATGCAATTGGAAACATTTCAAACAGTTGACATTATAGAGATAAGGATTCATCTCCCGAAATTGAATCTACCAATTCTGAAATACAACTCACCATCTTTGAAATTGAATGAACTTTCTCTGAAACTCATCTCACCGATTCTGAAATTGAGTTTACCAATTCTGAAATCGAACTAACCGATTTTGAAATCGAGATTACTTTTTCCGAAATATTACTTACTGATTCTGAAATTGAAGTTGGAAAGGTCCTTCGAAGTCATCTTATATGGTCAGTGCGATAGTATCTACTATAGCTGTAGGCATATCAGATTCTAGAATGTAAAGTTACAGTGTAAACATAGTCGAAGTCAAAGTTTCATGTTCTGCCTATTGCGTGCATTATACTAGCTTCGATGTCGTCTTATATGATCGTTGCGAACTAATATGCCTCGAAAGTATCCATGCGAGATGATAGAATGCAGTGATACAGTGTGCAGACTGATGTCGTCGAAGAATCTTCACTTGCTTATTGTTCTCGTTATATGTCCTTCGGAGTCGTCCTTCACGGTCAGTGCGATCGTATCTGCTTTAACTGTAGGCATGTCAGATGCTAAATGCAAAGTTACAGTGTAAACATAGTCGAAGTCGAAGTTTTTTGTTTTGTCTGTTGTGTGCGTTATACCCGTTTCTATATAGTCTTATATGATCGTTGCGAACTGATATGCTTCAGAGGTATCCATGTGAGATGATAGAATACAGAAATACAGTGTGCAGACTGATGTTGTCGAAGTTTCTTCACTTGCCTATTGTTCTCGTTATATGTCGTTCGAAGTCGTCATATATGGTCAGTGCGATCGTATCTTCTATAGCTGTAGGCATGTCAGATGCTAGGATGCGCAGTTACAGTGTAAACATATTCTCAGTCGAAGTTTATTGTTCTGCCTGTTCAATGCGGTATTACCGCTTCGATGTCGTCTTACATGATCGTTGCGAACTAATATGCTTCGATAGTATTCATGTGCAGATTGATGTCAAAAAATCTTCACTTGGCCATTCATCTCGTTATATGTCCTTCAAACTCGTCCTATATGATCAGTGCGATCGTATCAGTTTCATCTGTAGGCATGTCAGATGATAGAATTTCGAGCCACAGTGAAAACATAGTCGAAGTCGAAGTTTCTTGTTTTTCTTGTTGTATGCATTATTTTCATCCAGGAAACACTCGACAATGTCTACCTTCGAGATGTATAACGAATTTATTAACAAGATTGATAAATTCGAATTTTTGGCGAACACATCCGGTTACCGACTCTGGATTGTTGGAATCGAAGTTCTTGGTGGATATGAAAAAGTACTCCACTTGCATATATTGTGCTGTCATATATGCTTCTTAAATAGGCATTTCAGATGCTTGAATGCAAAGTTACAGTGTAAACATAGTCGAAGTTTCTTGTTCTGCCTGTTGTGTGAGTTATACCCGCTTTGATGTTTTATATGATCGTTGCGAACTGATATGCTCCAGAGGTATCCATATGAGATGATAGAATACAGAAATACAGTCTGCAGACTGATGTAGTCGAAGTATCTTCACTTGCCCATCCATCTCGTTATATGTCGTTCAAACTCGTCATATATGGTCAGTGGGATCGTATCTGTTTCAACTTTAGGCATATCAGATGCTAAAATTCCGAGCCACAGTGAGAACATAGTCGAAGTCAAAGTTTCTTGTTCTCCCTGATGTATGCGTTATTTTGATCAAGGAAACACTCGACAATGTCTACCTATAAGATGTCTAACGGACTCATTATTAAAATTGATAAATTCGAAGTTTTGGCGAACACGTCGGTTTACCGACTCTGGATTGTTGGAATCGAAGTTCTTGGTGGATATGAAAAAGTACTCCACTCGCATATATTGTACTGTCATGAATGCTTCTTGGATAGGCATTTCAGATGCTAAAATGCAGAGTTACAGTGTAAACATAGTCGAAGTCGAAGTTTATTATTCTGCCGGTTGTGTGAGTTAAACCCGCTTTGATGTCTTATGTGATCGTTGCGAACTGATATGCTCCAGAGGTATCCATGTGAGATAATACAGATATACAGTGTGCAGACTGATGTCGGAGTATCTTCACTTGCCTATTGTTCTAGTTATATGTCCTTCGGAGTCATCTTATATGGTCAGTGCGATAGTATCTACTATAGCTGTAGGCATATCAGATTCTACAATGTGAAGTTACAGTGTAAACATAGTCGAAGTCAAAGTCTTTTGTTCTGCCTGTTGCGTGCGTCAAAACCGCTTCGATGTCGTCTTATATGATCGTTGCGATCCAATATGCCTCGAAAGAATTCATGTGAGATTATAGAATACAGAGATACAGTGTGCAGACGGATTTTGTCGGAGAATCTTCACTTGCCTATTGTCCCCGTTATATGTCCTTCGAAGTCGTCCTATATGGCCAGTACGATCGTATCTGCTATAACTGTAGGCATGTCAGATGCTGGAATGCGGAGTTACAGTGTAATATAGTCAAAGTCGAAGTTCCATGTTCTGCCTGTTGTGTGCGTTATACCCGTTTTGATGTCGTCTTATATAATCGTTGTGAACTGATATGGTCCAGAGGTATCCATGTGAGATGATAGAATAGAGAGATACAGTGTGCAAACTGATGTAGTCGAAGAATCTTCACTTGCCTATTAATCTCGTTATAAATCCTCCAAACTCGTCCTATATGATCAGTGCGATCGTATCTGTTTCAACTGTAGGCATGTCAGATGCTAGAATTCCGAGCCCCAGTATAAACATAGTCGAAGTCGAAGTTTCTTGCTCCCCCTGTTGCATGTGTCATTTTGATCCAGAAAACACTCGACATTAAGATTAAAGATTGATAAATTCGAAGTTTTGGCGAACACGCCGGTTTACCGATTCTGGATTGTCGAAGTTTCTTGTTCTACCTGTTGTGTGAATTATTCCCGCTTCGATGTCTTATATTATCGTTGCAGACTGATATGCTCCAGAGGTATCCATGTGAGATGGTAAAATACAGAGATACAGAGTGCAGACTGATGTAGTCGAAGTATCTTCACTATCCCATCAATCTCGTTAGATGTCGTTCGAACTCGTCCTATATGGTCAGTGCGATCGTATCTGTTTCAACTGAAGGCATTTCAGATGCTAGAATTTCGAGCCACAGTGTAAACAAAGTCGAAGACGTAGTTCCTTGTTCTTCCTGTTGTATGCGTTATTTTGATCCAAGGAACACTCGACAATGTCTACCTATAAGATGTATAACCGACTTATTATTAAGATCGATAAATTCGAAGTTTTGGCGGACACGCCAGTTTTCCGACTCTGGATTGTTGGAATCGAAGTTCTTGGTGGATATGAAAAAGTATAGTACTCCACTCGCATATATTGTGCTGTAATATATGCTTCTTGAATAGGCATTACTGATGATATAATGCAGAGTTAGAGTGTAAAAATAGCCGAGATCGATGTTTCTTGTTTTGTCTGTTGTGTGAGTTATACCCGCTTTGATGTCTTATATGATCGTTGCGAACTGATATGCTCCAGATGTTAGATTATGAAATACAGAGATATAGTGTGCAGACTGATGTTGTCGGAGTATCTTCACTATCCCATCATTCTCGTTATATGTCGTTCGAACTCGTCCTATATGGTCAGTGCGATCGTATCTGTTTCAACTGAAGGCATTTCAGATGCTAGATCTTCGAGCCACAGTTCAGAATTTGAGGAAATGAACTGTCCAAGTTCGAAATGAGAATTTCTTTGATCCCCAAATTGATACTTGACAAGTTTCAGTATTTGTCCTTAGTATTTAGCAATAAAGTTCTGATTCTTGTCCTTCTGGTCACTGACGAGTGACCAGGATTTCAAAGAAACCCCAAGTGTGAATAGTTCAGTTAGATACATATTTTCAGAAGTTCTAATGCAGAGAACATCTTCTAGTTCAGATTTTGAGAGACATATCGATTTTGACCTTCTCCTGATGTATGACCTTTCACAATTTAGACTTACCGATTATGAGTTCCAAATGGATGCATGGTACGCATAGTTACTACCTCAAATTCTAGAGCTAAACAAGAGGATAGTTCGTTTTTGTATTATAAAATAGATCTTGTAAGATCCATTTTTTTTTTGGAGAGGGGTGATGTAGCATTTAAAATTTCAGTACATACCTTCCAATTTTTCAATTTATAGTATTGATACACCCTGTATCATATCCAGATAATCATATCACTACATTACGTTGACATAACCAAATCTTGAAGTAGTTGCATACCAGAGTAGTTATTCATGCATAAATATTTTTTATAAATAACAAAAGTTCAAGTATACTTGTCATTTATTTCACTCAAATATCAGATTCAGTCACAAATCTTAGATACACTTTAATTTCAGTATATCGAGCAGATAATGACATTGAAAACATGAAGTTGCTTGATAGTTAGTTGCCTCTATTATGTAGTACCTAAAAAAGAAATGAATAGTTCATTAGGAATACTTGAAACTTGTCACTAGTATACTCACCAAATTATTCACTTTTCTTACTGGCTCGATGATCAACAGGTAGTAGATGATGTTCCAACTCGATTCCAATCAATATGCAATCAATAAAATGCTCCTAGAGTATATTCTCTTATAGGTTTTGCCTGAAAGAAATGAACACCTGTTGTTTACAAACTGAATATAGGTTATGCCCAAATACATTACCTTGATGTAGTCGATCAGCTCGCACGCGTTTTTGTTCACTCCGCTCCGAAACCTGATAAATTTCGCAAAAATAGTACATACATCAAGATCAATAGTTATTGCTGTTTGCTAGTTAAAAGTGCATCTTCGTAGAAAGTGTGCTTCAAGTTTGATCGAGTGATCGTCCTTTTATCTGTGGTTGCATTAGTTGTAACGTAGAAATCCATCAACAATTTCTGCGATTTTATTGACACTTATACAGTAAAAACGTTCATCGCTTCTTCTTGCGCTTCGCCTTTTTTACCGATTCGAAGGAATAATTTCTGAATATGATGGCCAGTGCCGGCGCCGCAGATTTGCAACAACAAATGCAAGCAATAATGACGCAGCTTACTTTACTATCACAGAGTGTTGCCGATATTCGGACACTCCTGGAATCGCAAAATAAGAAAATAGACGAGTGTGTCCAGAGCGTTTCCAAGCTACAGGATGAGAATATAGATTTACGGGACAAAATAAACACAGTTCAAAAACAGCTTCTGAATTCGAACAATAATATATATGCTGAAATGAGGAATCGTTTAGATAGGGAGAAAAATGCCATGTTCTTTGGAATTAGCGAGCAGAACACTGAGTTCCTGCAAGTTGTCAACGAGATTGCTAACAAAATTTCCTCACCAAAACCCTGTACGATACTTAGTGCAGAACGGGTAGGGAAACTGCTGGATAATAAGGATAGACCAATAAAAGTTCAATTTGCTACTATTGGTGAAGCTCAACATGTGATAAGAAATGCATTCAAAGTCCCTAAAGGTGAGCTTCCAAACCTGAGAATTAAAAGAGACTTAACCCCCAACCAACAACATGAAATCAAGATTGCTCATGAAGAACTCAATAGACGTAAAGCTTTGGGTGAAAATAATCTGGTACTGAGGTTCTTCAACAATCAACCGAAAATTGTGGAATATAAGAATCGAGATAATAATACTCAAAAACGTAACAAACGTGGCAGTGAAGAAGACGGATCTCCAAAAATGAACCAACCTAAAATTAATAGAAAAAACGAATACCTACTGGAGAGTTCATCAACTCCATAATATTCTGGAATGTGCAAGGGTTCAGTAACATGAGTGCGTTAATTAGTGACTTCACCATCCTTCCTGAAATCATATGTGTTTGTGAAACGTGGCTAGTTTCGGAAGTACCCATCCCATCATTTTTGCCTGATTACAACATGCTATTCTCACCAGCAATAAAAGAAAAATCACGTGGCCATGCTAGTGGCGGATTATCAATATTTGTTAAGGTTCATTTTCAAACTCGTATTTTAGATGTATCGCCATGGTGGATTATTTGTCTGTTCAAATATAAAAACTTTTCTTTCATATTATGCTTCTGCTACTTTAAGCCGAGTTCAATTTTAGAAGAATTACTAGATTTACTTCAAATTTCACTAAATGAGATATCAGAAAAATATGAAAATCAAATGTTTATCTGTGCAGGTGATTTTAATTGTAGGGTAGGTCAAATTGCAACAATTCCCCAACATCTTACTGAAAATACAAATTTATACGAAAGTATGTTGAACTGTGATGGGGTGGCAAACAGTAAGGGTTATAAGTTGATGGATTTCATGCTCGGGAACAATTTTTCTCTGATCAATGGAAGTATCGCTTCAGATAGACCGGCAAAGTTCACATTCCTTGGCTCTATGGGTACCAGTGTCATTGATTTAGCATTTTGCAACAACACCAGTCTGCCTCATATACATAGTTTCAAAGTGTTAGATGACGCTATTACTCCTTCGGATCATTTTCCTATTCGTCTGGATACATCGAGTGAGTCAGGTGAGCACATCAATAATTATTATGCTAAAAATGATACTGATGGAACGTCAATTTCACTACGATGGGATGATTCTATTGCACTTTTATTCAAAAATACAATGCGTGTCTCTCCCAATGTTAACTTTATAGAAAATGTAGAGAATTCCTACTCAAACTTACATAAATCAATATGGGATGCCGCCGACTGCTGTAGGCTGATACAATATAAAAAGCGTAATTGCTCTGGTTTTAGTGTTCACCATAACAATAAACCATGGTTTGACAAAGAATGCATTGAAATTAAATCGCTTGTAAAATCTACTTATAAAACATGCAAATCCAATAATTTTGCAGAGCCTCATAAATCAAATTACTTGAGTATGAAAAAAGACTGTAAAAAAATTATCAAAACTAAAAAGACTGAGTATGAGAAATCAATTGTCACCGCTTTAACCAACGTCAAAGATCAAAGTACTTTTTGGAAAACAATAAAAAAATTCAACCCAGCTGGTCAGAACAATGTATGTCCAATATCTATCCTAACATGGGAACATTTTTATAATGAAATTTACAACCAAAAAAATATTTTGGAATATCAGTTTGTAGATGTTAGGAACTATTTCTCAGACTCTAATATAACGTATGATGAACTTCTTATGAGCATAAAAAAGTCAAAAAATAATAAATCTCCTGGAACTGACGGAATTCCATTTGAGTTCTTCAAGAATTTACCACAAAACTGGCTTCTCTATATATGCAGTTTATTTAATAACATTTTTGAGTCTGAATGTATCCCGAAAATGTGGTCTGGAACTATATTGTCCATGCTCCACAAAAGAGGCCCAAGAGATGACCCTACGAATTATAGAGGGATAGCACTTGTTAACTGCCTAGTCAAATTATTCACGAACATTTTACTATTCAGACTGACCAATTGGTGTGAAGAACAAAATATAATCCCAGACTGCCAATCCGGATTCAGGCAGGGCAGAGGCTGCATAGATAATGTCTTCATTTTGAGTTCGGTAATTCAAATCCAGATGCGTCACAAGGGCAACAAAGTCTACGCTGCATTTGTCGACTTCAAAAGAGCCTTCGACTCGGTCAACCACGACATTTTATGGCACAAATTATATGGATTAGGTATTAGTGCTAAATATATCAGAATAATCAAAAATATCTATGATAATGCGAATACACGTGTCAAATCTAATAATGAATTCACCAAAAAATTTGAACTATCCTCAGGTGTTTTAGAAGGTGAATGTCTAAGCCCCATTTTGTTCTCACTTTTAATTTCTGATATGGAGACTTTCTTCAAAGAGAAAGGAAGCACAGGTTTAAATATAGACAATGTTCAAGATCTTTCAATACTTCTTTATGCTGACGATTTGGTTATCTTGGGCAATTCTCCTATTGATTTGCAACGAAAACTAAACAATCTAGCTGCCTATTCAGAAGAAAATGATCTACATGTGAACGTACCTAAATCAAAAATTGTGATATTCAGTAAGGGAGGACACGGCTCCAACAGAAATTTAAATTTTTATTATAACAACGAACAGTTGGAAATATTGAGCAAGTTCACATATTTAGGAGTTGTATTCTCATCGTCATCACTATTTCTGAATATGGCAAATTTAAGTGTTACAAAATCAAAACAAGCCCTAGGAGCAGTAATTAGCATAATGACCAACTCTAAAATTAATTCTTGGGACTCAAGAATTCATTTATACGAGTCTATTATATTATCCTCCCTATCTTATTGTGTTGCAATTTGGGGAACAAGGTATCCTGATATAGTGGAACGTATTCAAGTTAAATTCCTCAAGAGAATTTTGTGCCTACCCAACAACACCCCTGATTATATCGTTAGACTAGAATCGAAGTCCACCAAATTGAGTCACCTCATACTGAAAACTGCTATGTCATGGATATATCACATTAACAACCTACCGGACTCACGTTTACCAAAAATATGTTTCTAACGCCTTATGCAATTACGTGAGAATATAGATGTTAGGTATAATTGGGTAAGTCAAATCGAACAATACACGGCTATTACTGGACACGAAAACTTTCTTATTGAGAACTTTGGAGCTTTTGATTTGAAAAAAAAAGGTGCGGACATTCTTGAATCATACAAACATTATCTTTTACATGATGATCAAAACAGACTGAATGACTCAACGTATCCATATATTTATAATCATTTCACAAGCCAAAATGGTTTATTTTATCTGAAACTTCTGATCCCTATCAGCGTAATCAGAATAATTTGTCAATTACGAACTTGTAATAAAGATCAGATTACTTTCTCATACAGAGGAATGTACTACAAAATTGTTTTTACTCAGCTCTGCACAATTTGCAATATGTACAGGAATGAGAGTCTAGAACATATTTTTTTCGATTGTCCGCTTTATGAAAACTTGAGGAATCCATTAAGGCCGAGTATTGCAAACCTGGCTGATCTTGTTGATGCCCTTGACACTGGTACACCCAAAACTCTTTTCATAATCTTCAACTATTTAATTAACATACTCAAACTACGCTCCTTCATAATAAACGAATGAATTCAAATTGGACCCCTATATGTTTCTTTTTGCCACCCCAAATTTCCGCTTACTTTGACACATCTACTTTGTTTTTTTTTTTCTTTCTGCAGTTTTTTTGTTTCCACTTTCTATCAATTAAATAAGCACCTCGTCACAATATAACAATATATGCATGTGTGTATGTATGATTGTATGTGTATATATTATATATATAGATTATACAAGTATTCAGTGAAAAATAAAAAACTATGAACCAAACCTCTTGTGATAAGAATGTAAATTTTCTTTGACACAATAAATGAAATTGAATTGAATTGAATTGAAATACATTACCTTAATCATCATAGTAGTCTTCTGATGTATGTTTGAGGTCTGAATCTTGATATAGATCGGCTGGATATGAAATACAGTGGTATTTTTTTGTAAATAAATAGAAATTGCATACTTATTATTTTTCGGTTATGTAATTTGATTACTGACAATATTGACATCCATGTCAAGTAATTTCATTTACTTGTCACTTGTATATAGCTAACACATCAATGTCATGTGCCAAGTCACATGGGACCTCCTGTCACAAGCATAGAGAGTAGGAGAGTAACGTCCAGTGAACTTAACTTCCAACGTTGCCAGTTGTTTTAAGAATCGGTATGTTACCGAAAAGTCATGCTTGGAGGGTAGGACTGAGATAGATCCACTCTGATTGGGTGTTCCACAAATATCGATAGTAGGTGAAACTAAGAGACCATGACTACCAGCATAGGGAAATACATGCTTTAATCTTAACTGGAACGCGGCCTGTGTTCTAGCGGGAAAGAGGGGTAGCGCTGGCGCGAGCTTATCGAAACCGCAACAAATAACACTTCAATGACAATAACAAGATGGCGGCGGCGCTGATGGCGGTGAATTTGAAATTGTGAGGTTATGACATCATCATCATCATCATGATGAATTTTTAAATAAATAAATAAATTAAAAAAAAGCTGTCAACGCTGGGGGAAATTGAACCAGGGACCTTTGCATTATGAGGCAGCGTATATACGCACTGTGGTATTACGACCTCCGTGATATTTCAATTATTTTAATGCTATTCAAACGGGATATCCATGCTGGCGCGCGCTTATCTTTGCAACGAATCCATCGAGGTAGAGTGAAGCGAGAGATGCATTCCAGAGATAAGAAACTTCGAGTCGAAAATAATATCCATCGCTGGCGCGCGCTTATCTTTGCAACGGATCTATCGAGGTAGAGTAAGGCTCGAGCGCTCGGTGCTGCAATGTTGTCGGACGTATGTGTTTGGATGTTAGTATTGTTACATTATTGTGTGTGGCAACGCTGTCTCGCTTCTTGGCGTTCGAAGATCCAGCAAAGCGAGAGATCCCGTAGAATGATAAGCGCGCGCTCGTATTGGAAACGAATACTTGGATTATTTATTTATTTTGAAGTGGTTGACGTCATGCCGTTACCTTCATGGCGTTCGAAGTTCCAGCAAAGCGAGAGATCCCTTAGAATGATAAGCGCGCGCGCTCGTATTGGAAACAAATACTTGA